CTTTAGAAATCTGTTGTAAAAATTAATAAAATAGGAATGAATACACTTAAGTTTTTCCTATGATTATTTACATTAACTCTATTTTATTAATTCCATGTTAATTTGATAAAATCCTGATTATTACATATTTTGATTATCCTTATCAATAGCATTCGAATACATCATTAATAATAGAATAAAGACTTATTTTCTTGTAAATTATATCTATTATTCTATAAAGGATTGGTTATAATTTTTTCCTTATTCGTAATTAGATTTCTCTTTCTATATATTTTATTTTATTTCATTGTTTCTGATCTTGGTTTGAGATTACTATATAATGAACTCATTTATATAATTTATTAAGTTGACTTGATTATCTTTTATTAATTAATTTGCAATCTTATTAAATTGGACCATAAAATGTTTATCCTACATATAAATTATTTATCCTCACATTAGATATATTTGAAAAATCAAAGTACACTTTTTTTTTGCTCTAACTCTTAGTTGCATTCTAATTGTAGTAGAAATTAAAATTATTTAAATACCAATAATATTAATAGAAAAAGAAGGAAAAATTCTTACTAAATAATTTATGTATATGTTTTGGATATTCAAAAATATAAAAATAGCATGTATATCATTTAGCAAAATATTGTTCGTAATCTCAATCTATTTATATAAGTCTCTAGATTGTAAACTTAACTTTCAATAAAGTTTAATGATAATTCCTATTTGGGACCCATGGTTCTCTTAAAATTTAATGGTTTTTGAATTGAATAAGAACTGATCAAATATTATAAATTGTTTTTTAAAGAGTCAATAATAAAATTTGAGTAAGAATCATAATATTTTGTAAATTAATAGAAAGTCTGTTAAAATAATTTTAACCCTTTTAGCAATTTACAAAATAACTCTCGGGTGTAAGTTTCAATCTTAATTAGATCGACTATCAATGATGAAATGATTTATTCTTCTCCCTAATATGATACTTTTATTATTTCACTAATTATGCTCAAATTAAAGTATTTAAGATTTGAATAATTATTTGTATCACTCTCAATTAACATAATATTAGGTATGTTAGATATTTATACTTCATTAGTTTCAAGTTAACCAATATCACCTCTAGATGCTAAGACAATTTGTAGTCTTAGAAGGACTGTAATAATTAGAGGTTGGAAAAATTATAAATTCATATAATTTAAATTATTTGTCGTTTTAAAAAAAATATATATCAAAATAATTTAATCTTCAATAATTTCCAAAAATTTCTTAGACCTGTCTAATCAATCATAAAATTCATAAATATGAAAAATTAAGGAATCTCTATCAAATGTAAACTTAAGTATTATGTCTATTATTAAATGAATTATCCAAAATTTAAGAAATAACACCATATATTTAAGCTCTTGATTATTATTAAGAAAATGTGAACATAGTATATTTAATTACTTTAATCTAATCCAGATATCTTTACTAATTACTTTTACATTTTTATTTATTGGAAAGTGTTGAGGTAAGAAATAAATATCAAATTATTTAATTTTTTAATAGTTCATTAATTCATATAGAAGGAAAATAATGTAAATTTTCCTAAGAAAATAGTAATAATGAATTTTTATTTCATGAATTACAGACTAACTATGTAAGTTAAATTTAGACAAGCTATTCTTGAACTTATTATATAATATTATTTATATGATTACATAATGGTAAATCAATAAATTTAATAATATAAATATTGTAATTCTTAATGGATGTACATAAATTCAATAACATTTTTTCAATCAATTAAGGATAAGAAACTAATAACAATCTAGAAGATGAGAATAAAATTGTGTTATTTCATTAGAATAAATAAATATTTAAATTCATAACTAAAAATTGAGTTATTAGGATTTCATAATCTTTATCATAGCTTAGAGTATTTTAAGCATTTTTTAATATTTTTATGAAGCAAGAGATATATTTCATACATTTTAAATGAGGTCAAGTTTACATCTGATTAATATGATATATAACACTTGGCTTGAACAATTAGAAAAACCAATATATAGCAACAGTAGAAGTTAATTTTTTAAATCAGTAATTTTTGAATCAGCTGAAGCTGATTAGATATATATGGATTTCCAGTTATTAGTCTTTATATTGAAATTTACAGATTAAGAGAAGAAGCTAATTCCTAATTTTTTCTTTTTGAAAGCATATTGATATGATTACCTAAGATAAATCATTCCAATAAACTCTATAAACCATTTCCTTGTTGTTAGATTCACAATAAAAAAGAAATATTTAAAAATCTTCATAGTAAAAACTTTGTAAAAATTCACAAATTAATTATTACTAATTTGATTATAAACTTGTATAATTTTTTCATATTAATTATCCAAATACATTTTAATTAATTATTGTTTTATTTCTTTTCAATAATTTAAGTATTCAATCTTGTGATTACTTTTTATATAATTTCGGATAAAATATAAATTACGAAATATATCCCCAAAATCAATCAACATTAAATAAAAGAGATCCCAAAGTTAAATTAGATTAATGATTTTAAAATATTGGTAAAAATCTTTTAAATTTTAATGGTTTGCCTTGATTTTGCATTTTATGAAAATAATCTAAGAACTTTTGGGAGAGTTTATAGAATCTTAATATATCAATTT